CAAGGTGAAAAATGTGATGCCATTTATCTTATTTTCATACATTTCTTAGGCACGGCTGCTCAGCTCAGTTCATGGGTTGGGTGGGTGGGGGCTGCTCTGTCTGAGACTCTCTCTTTGCTCAGTGAAAGAGAAGGATTGAAGCATCCGTTTAGCCCAATTGTCCTTTTTTTCATTTTGTATTTAGAATACAAAAAGGGAAAGAAACGTAACACTAAGTTTTAGCAATTCCTGGGCACAGGTCTCTGTGTAGAGAGAGGTTTAGAGTATGTTTCAGTTGTGTATAACATAAGCTGCATTTCACAAGTGCAGAATAATATCAAGTAATAATTTGAAATCCCTCTCACCTGCTCATTAAAATACTTAGATATCTAACAAAATGCCTCCAGGCCAGTATTAACCTATATTTAGATTTCGAGTGTAGTGCCATTTTTCTTTACTGTGCCATTAATAAAATTGTATTCCTTGCTCGTAGAGAGCACAAGTGCTGAATAAGCAGCGAATTTGCAGTGTGTCACATACAGCCTCTTATCCCGTGTGGGTCAAAGGTTGTCAATGGGAGTACTTAGTCTTGTGCTGTAGACAAACTGTATTCAGTTTACAGCCATCCATGACAAACAAACTTGTATAAAATTATTCTCCTCCAATACACACCCCTCAGAAAAAAATCCCTATTAAAATATAGATTTATTTCTTGCAGTCACTATGGTACATGTTTATTCAGTTGACTCTTAGATTGTTCAGACCTAAAATTTGCTGATGACATCTGCTTTTTGGAAGTGAAATCCTCTTGTCCTGTAAATCTTATTTGATCACTTGCTGAAGGTTCAGGCTACGTACAGAATTAGTATTGAGACGGCAAAAGAATAGTTAGCAAGTAAAATAAGGTCTGTCTAACCCAGAACCACTTTGCACCTTAGGTCTTCCTCCCGTTAATGGGTAATTCATTTAAATGCCTGAAAACTTTAAATGTATGATTAGAAGAGTTGGGAGATGGGGGAAGAACTAAGAGATGGAAAAGGGCAGGACTTGGAGCTCAAAAGGATGGTAAATCAAAAGGGGCAAACTGCAGAGATGAAGAGAAATGGGAACCAAAGGGAAAGAAATGTTTCCAAACCAGAAGTGTTACAATAATAATAATAATTCTTGCATTTGATACAGTGCCATTGTTCGAGACATCTCAAAGCGCTTCACAGAATATACTGTAAAGTGAATCGACTATATTTTGTGGACAAAACACGTTGAAAGAAAATAGGGAGAAGCAACAAAATAAAGAAAAAACATAATCAAAAGGGAGGGGGAATTCTTGAGCACCACAATCACTTGCACTGAGGCTTTCCACAACTCTGATTATAGTTGTTATTCAGGAATTATCACAAACTGTTGAGTAGTTTGAGATTACGAGGCTTTTAACGGCACAAGCAGATAACATCACAACTGACCTCAAAGTAATTTTATTTTATAATTCTTAATTTAGTTCACAGCTATTCAGAAGTGTATTCATATAATTAATACCTATTTGTCTTTTGGCACGGTTCAGCTCCCTGCATCTTAAGACAGATGTGTGAGAGGAGAGATATCGCCAGCTCTATGACGAGTATTAATTAGCATTGCTCTTAAAATAAGCAACACAATCAAAGTGGTTTCAGACAACATTGACGGGCACTCTGAATTCTGGCCACATACCTGAAGACTGATTTTTGTTCATCTTTCCAGAGGATGGGAGTGGGTTTAACCCATTATAAAATCCATTACCATCTCAATTCTGAAATGTGCTGTTTGCGAGAGATTTGGCTTCTCTTATACATTGGCCTTCCAGGTCTCTCCTTTTATGTGGATTTTGTTACAAAAAAACAACCCATCGTCACTAAAATGGCTTTGCAATGCTGTGGAGACCTTGTCATTTTGAGGTCTTCATTTCATTTCATAAATCCCTTGGAAGAAGTTATTGAAATAATTGTTAATATCTTTCAAACCATTATTTCTTAACTTTCGTGATACTCAGAGGGTTTGTGTTATTATGAGAGATAATGTATTACTTAGTCTAATTAATTCTGATGTAAACGAGTTTAATTTGAAAGACTTTCCCTCATAACTCGAAATCCAGATCTACCTTTATGAAGCATGAAAGGCATAATTGTTACACTGTTAAGGACAGCTATTAATAAGTATGTTAATAGACTAATTTACATATTCAAATGAATCTGATTGCACTGTAGGTATTTGCCCGTATGTAAAGCCTATTTTTTTCTGTGTTTATATTTGGCACTTTTCATAGGTTTTCTTTATTTTTAAATAAATCAATTTAAAGAAAATCATTTTTTTTCAATAATCCCTAGACTAGTTCAGAAAGTTACCCATTTAAGTTTCCGAAATTCTAATACAGCAGCAATATTAAGAGGACGTCCCAATAATTTCCAATACTCAATTTTGCAAATGTCCCAAATACTTTATTTTGTTATGGAGATGGGCAAGATTGAAGCATTTTTGGTGCTCTTCATTGTCATTCTGTAAAATTATTGCTGTTTATTTTTTCTTGGAGAGGAAAGATCAAAATACTAGCTATCAATACCTAATAAGGTATTTTTAAAATGCATGTTAAAAAAAAAAGCTATTTCATCGCACATTGGTGGCTGGTACAATATCTGGCAAGATCAAGTGGAATAGTGGTATTACTTGGAATAACCATTTCATCTTGTCCCGACAATGCAATCTCACCAGCTTTTCATTGTATATCGAAACAACATGTCCCATAGCAGTAATAAACCAGTTGTACTAATCCTCAGAATTGCAGCAAGTAAAAAAAGTGAAGTGATTAATAAGGTTGAAGCTGTTTAACTGGGACACACTGGCGGAAACAAAATCATCTAATTTATCAGACAATCTTCATTAAACAAAGCCCATCTGTACTGATTTAAATACATTAGGAATCAATTTGTGCCTAAGAAAATCTCTCTCACAAAAGGAATATCTCTCATCAACCACATTCACCCCATTAGCTGGTATCAAAGCATCTGATAGATGCAGAGATCAAATAAATGTGAAGCTTTTGAATGGAGAATCCAGCGGTTTATTTCATGGTATTTAAAAAGCACCATTTACCTCTGAAGCCTTGTACATTATAAGCACAGGGCCAACCGCTGCTACATTTTTCTGCCGTGTGTTAAATTCTAGATCCCCTGTGGCTTCTTGCTGCTCAGAATGCAGCAGGACATGGGGCTGACATTTATACTGGAGTACAAGTAGTCTTATTCATGGAGTTGCCTGGAGCTAGCATGTTCCCTGACCATTGAGCAAAATGACAAGATGCATATCTGACTGCTTATGACCATGATTCTTTGCCAGAACTTCAACCCCGGGGTTGTCAGGTGACTGGTAACAGCTTTTATTTTAAAATCAGCACTCGACTCAGTCAGAAACATAAAGATTGTGCCCTCGCTGTGCGTCTGCAGCGGCTGTCAGACAGGAACTTTTATCAAGTTGAAGACTGCTGTGGAATTTATACCGTACATTACGTTTAGCTGGAAGAAAATATGTAGGTCTATAATATACACAGTGTATGCTGCTCCCCGTAACATCGTAACATGTGGTAAAATGAAACTTGACGCTACTGGGCTTGATCTCCTATGGTATAAGGGCATGGCAGTTCTTGATAACCTATAATAGTAAATACTATAATGGTCATAGAAAATGGTGTAAAATCATGCCCATAAATTCATAATTATATAATAGAAAAATAGTGCATATACATGCATATTATATAATATATACAGACTGTATTTGCAAAAAGAAATGCACATGACTTTAAAAACAGTGATGGTGGGATGAAGTGCATGCGGTTCAATCTTAAACCATTAATATCCAAGTGACTTGCTTTATTTAAAAAAACTATTTATTTGAACTAAAAAGATATAGTGACTGAGGACATCCTCACAAGGTGAAAGGTGCTATTACAAATATAATTCTGTATTGTATTGTATAAGTTTAAAAGCTGCTAATATATCCAGCCTTCAATGCTGAAAAGATTGATTTTCCTGTGTAGTGTGTCAAAATTTTGCATTTGACCACTGGAACCAAGAAGACTTTGAAGAGGTGGTCCAAAATTGACCTGTTATATAAAGGAAGGCACTGTGAATTGATTTGCTCTCCACCAAGTACTGGTTCTTTAAAAGATCTTGGGCGATCCCTTCAGCAAAATTATAAATATATTTGTTTGTAAATAAATCACAATTTTTTTTAAAAAGTGTTATTTATTTATTTATTTAGAAAAATCCTGATTGTGAAACCTCCTCAATCCTCTTAAATCCCGTAAGCAGAACTATTGTGATAGTTACAAAAATATCCTTTTTTTATTAAAAAAAAGCGTACGTTTTCTCTGCAGTAATGCGAGAATGCCTATCTGCTCTTTGTGTGTAGTGCTTCCTTATTGCATTCTGCAACACTGTACAGAACACAATGAAGTCTATCAAGCAGGAAGGGAAGCAAGAGAAATGTAGAAATGATAGAAGGCACGGTCCAAGAGATAGATCTACAGGAGAATTTTGAATGTCTGAAGGGTGGAGCAAGGTGAAGTGATTTCCTGAGGATAGGGTTGAAGGCTTGACTTCATTGTGACAGCGAATGTCTGTCAGCATCTTCATCTCCGGAAATGTGCAGAAACGTTATCTGATTTTGTCCTGTGAACATAGTTTCAGTTGGGCTGCCAAATTCAATCGCCAACCATCAGTGTCACTGTTGGAATAATAATAAATAATAATAATTCTTGCATTTGATATAACACCTCATTGCGTCTTCGAGACGTCTCAAAGCACTTCACAGAATACACTGTAATGTGAATTGACTGTATATTTTGTGGGCAGAATTAGAAATTCTATTAATTTAATACATTTCTAATTTAATCTATTAATCTACGTGCATTTGTTAAAAAGAAATCCTCTTTGATTGCTTGACTCTTCAGTTTCTTATTTGGATATTGATTCTTGCCTCCTTTATGATTTCCATAGGCATACGGCACTGCAATGGAAACATATCCAAAGTCTGGACTGCCATGCATGGTTGAAGGACTGGCTTTGTCACATATTGGAAGACTACACAGTGGTATTGGTGAGTACATCTATACGATAAAAGTCATTACTGAAGTATTTCCTAAATATGCTGGTGACGTAATTGAGGCACCACATCAATTCTGCACCAACTTCTACTTTTAATAGTACAGTGAAGCCTTTTGCAATATCCAGTGGAATATCAGCTGTTCGTTGCCCACATGAACATAAGGGTTTTTCTAACACTAATGCAAAGTTTCCAAGCATTTGTTTAATCTTTGTTCCATTACATTTTTTAGCTGGTAATTGAATGAGATATAGCCAAATCTGAGAAAGTATGTAAAAGCAGAGCTTGGACTAATTGAGTTTTCGACTTCTCCTTTCTGATATTGAAGCACCTGGTCCCCACTTAGTACCTCTCTATGCCACCATGGGCGAGATTGGGTGCTCACTCACTTATGTAGGGAATTGTAAGTGAAAACCAGCATCTGAATGGGAATAAGGGAATATAAATCTCAACATTTAAATTCGAGTGTTTCTGTGACAAAAAAAATTGCCAATGTTCTTCAAAGAGTTAGGTATACGGGATCCTAATGTCCTCTTCTGCTTGAGAACAGGAATGAAATGAGGGTAGATGGAATAGTGTCTTTTTTTTCTATCTGTATTGCTTTTGGCAAAATGCAAAAGTAAAATAACTCACAGGAAGGAGGCTTCATCAATCTTCACTGAGTTTTACAAAGGAATCCCCCAGAATAGGAACTTTTAGGTTTGGTCAGAAGTAGTTAGGGGGTCCTATGGCAAACAGACAAGGGCTTTGTAACTCCAGGAGATGGATAAGATGAGTCTTGATTAAGATTTCAGGAAAATGATTACAAATCTATAGAAGTACCATTTGAGACATTACTAATACGATACAATCTTCCATCTACAAAAAAAAAGTTTTAGGTCATTAATAGACTACCTTGTGCACCTTATTTCACTTGTGAGGAAGACCTGTAGAATCTGTTCGTAAAGTTTGCCATTCAGGAGAAATCACTAGAGATACGCCAGCGTTTTTTTTATTTTGATGTTTAAGTTCAACGATTTACAAGTTTCAAATGATTAAACGTTTGAAATAATCGTTTCAATTAAATGTGGAAAATCCTCACAACATAAATTTTCCCATTTCTCCCCATGGCTACAACAGTTCATCAATAATAATAAATGAATGGCTCATTGGGTAAATGTTATCATCTTGAGTTTTGCTGAGCTATGCAAACTAGGAAAGTCTTGGGTTTGATGACTGGTCTATACCGAGGTAGTTGATCTAAACAACCCCAATCTGGATCACTGACCAGTGAATTGTTTTGGAAGGTACATCTATTCACTGCAACATTACAAAAGCCATATGTGTATAAACAAAGCAAGGTGCGTATTTTGTTGAAATTTATGTTGTATTGGTATGGGTATTAAATGTCTGCATTGAAACTTAGGCCGAAAAGCTAGATAATTGAGGAACCGGCATCACCGGGTTGATCACCTGAATTCTGACTTTAAGCTGTGTATTTGGTGAAAGTGTAGAATATAATTCAAGTACATTGTTGAGGATCACCTAAATCTATAGCCAGGTTTGTACAGCTGTTTGCCTTTCTTGTACAATCAATAAAACTTCAATCTGTGTGGCATTCTGTGAGTAAAGCACACGTGAAGCAGATGGCGTTCAATAAGGGCTTTAACAGTTGATTTAAAAATTCACTCTAGTGAAAAGGAAAATAAAGCTTCACACCAAATGGTCCATTTGTCAGAACTGTAAGCTTTTCACAAAAAGGCTCCTTCACCACTAAAACAATACTAAAACTGATTTTTATTTTCAGTGTGGATATGTGCAATAAACTCCCAGCAAAAGCTATTGTATTAACTTCTTTTTAACAAAAATTGTATTGCATCTTGTTTGGAACAGTTGTAAGGTCAGCTAACAATAGTAAGAATCCTTGCATTTGGTATAGCACCTTTCTCATCGAGAAGACGTCTCAAACATGTACTCTTAAGTTGGAGTGACTATGCATTTTGTAGGTGAATGCGGCAGCCCATTTACATACAGCAATGTCCCACAGCCATAATGTGAATGATCAATTTCATCTGGGCACTATTGGCTTGTACACCGGAGAAACATCCTTCATTTTTCGAGTAGTGCCATCCAAAGGACAAGCGAATACAATGCACCTCTAGCCCTACATTGGAGGGTCAGCCTAGGCTGTAAAGCCCTGATGTGGTTCTTGAACTTACAACCTTCTGACTCAGTACAATTGAAAGTACTGTACCATAAGTAACATTCCTACATTTTTGTGACTTATTTAATTCTATTAAGAAATTAGCTTCATTTTTAAGTTGGGGTATTTTGCTATTTTTCAGTAATGTAAAGAATTCGCTTAAATGCGTACAACCTTACTTTAAAAGGTTCCTCGCTTTGCAGAGAAAGATTTCTGGATCTGTGATCTTCTAATTAGGATTCTCTATATCCTAAATACAAACTGCCGGTGAAAGAACTGCACCTCTTCTCTCCTTATACTGCCTTGTCTGACTCCCTGAGTGCAAGAGCTTTAAAAATGGTCTGCACTGATCGGAATAATTTTTTTCACCACACCTCAGGCAGAATGTGACTTGGTTCCATCTGTTAGAAACCTATTCCTGACTCCTCGGGCAGTTTCTGATTCAAATCCATCCATTACACACAGCTTCTCGAGGTGGTTTATTATAAACTGGGTTCAAACAAACAAATTTCTGTTAAAAATTCAATTGCGCAGAAAGTGATCACTATCAGTCACAGTCCACATAGGAAAACTGATTCTGATTGATCCGATGTGGAAACCTGTGGGCAAATGTGTTCTAAGATGGATCTAGAGGAACAGTTCTGTAATATCTTGGTCTGAAATGTATTCATAAAGCAAATCAACCCTTTTTGCCATTTTTAGATTGTTCTGCTCTTAAAAAAACTCATTTTGTGCCCCTTTTAGATATCAATTTAATTTGGACTCCTGAATCTTTTTTGCCAGTTTCGCCCGCAAAATACACAGTCAGTCCACTTTACAGTATATTCTGTGAAGCTCTTTGAGACGTCAATGCAAGGATTATTACTATTATTATTAGCTTCCTCTCACATCTTTTTCCTTTGCCTTGAACAGTACAGGGAATGGCTGAGCGGCAAAAACTGATATAATGGACAGAATTTTCTCTCTCTTCTGTTCCTAATCTCCCCGCAACCCTCAATTCTGTCGGGGGGAGGGGGAGAGAAACAAAATCTCACACATTGGGATCCAAAATACAATATTTGCAAACCAGATTTGTTATCTTAATTGCAACTCTTCCAGTAAATATCAAATTGGGAAATTCACAGAGTGTTTTGTGAATGGAAAATGAAACATAAGCTGGGATCGTCTAAAAAAACCATAGGTGGCGAGCAAAATGGCCAATGTTTACTCTCTGCTGGTAAAGCTCTGGAAGACAACTTTGCTCATCCTCTTACTCCTCTGCATGTAAAGCAGCCTCTCATAGAAACAGGAGGAGGTCATTCAGCCCCTCAAGCTTGTTCTGTCATTCTTTAAGATCAGGGCTGATCTGTACCTCAACTCCAATCACCCTTGCCCCATATTCATGATACCCTGACCTAACAAGACCCCTCTCTGGGCACTAGAGCTGTTTGTGTGTGTGTGTGTGTGTGTGTGTGTGAGTGAGAAAAGGCGAAAAAGGAAAGTTGAAGAAAGCAAGTTTGGTGGGAGGTACCATCGAGACAGACGAGTTGTATTCGACTGTCCTGGTTTGCACATCTCATTCCTTTTTTTTCTTCCTCCTCTGGCTTCCTTATTGCTGCTTTGTGCTGTTTCCTTTCCTGCTCTCCAAGGGCACCTTAAGCTTTGAATTTTAAAACTCGAAAATTAATCAAATTTTCAGGGTGCCAATATTTCTAGTTTTGAAGTATATTTTGTTTCACTCATATGTCTCGGGTTTGCCTCAAGTACAGTGACTATAGGAAGCTGTTTAATTTAGTAGGAGTAATCTCCCACCACAAAAGTGTCAAATCAATACAAGTTAAGGAGATTAATTATTTAAACCCCACCAGCTTTTAATTAGTTAGCTATTTCTGAAGAATGGATTTGGTTTCAATATTGATGTGTAACAATATGGTTACATCATCACTGAAACTCCTGTTGTGGAAAGCTGCTGTGCATTTTACGAAATCTGAGCAATTAGATGTATAGTGGGGTTACTGTATCCTGTGGGAATAAATTGTACGTTTTCTTCAAAAAAAATTCTCTGCTGTGCAAAACCGCTCATGGAGATATAAGGCCTGAAATTCATATGGCTTTAACCTTAAGACCATGGCGTTAAGATTTAATATTATGCAGAATATCTAATAGGCAGTTTTATCTTAAAGCTTTCACACAATTGTTTTCGACTTGTCTGTATCAGAGCTTTGGAGTATCGCTGTTACACTTGTACTTATTTTCAAACCTACAATTTAAGGTTGGCCTAGTCACACTATGTGTTGCTGTAGCCATGTACCACACCACAAAGTGAAACGAAAATATGGAAATTATTAATTCGTCAGTTTGTCCAATCCAGTTAATATTTTTGGAATATTGCAATTGCCCCCACACAGAAGGATAGACAAACACGGTACATAGAATCTAATCCCGTTCTCTATCGGAGTACTTGCAAATGCCATCCTCAAGTTGCATTCTCGAAAGATGCACATAGCCTCGAGATGCAAGCAGCAAAGATTAAAAAACCGAGTGTACCGTTTACCTGGTTGATTAGGATGACAGTTGAGATTTGGCTAAGTGTTGAGGTAAGCCACAAAGAGAATTTCCTGTTACTTCTTCTGGTAACAAGAAGCATGTGATAATTTGAGGGATTATTGCTCGAGAATGTAACTGCTGTCGGTTTGGACTAATTTAAAAACACACAGGTATATATAATTGCAGTCTATATATGGTCTGCTTGGATCATATGATCTAAAACTTGAGGATCAGCTGCGGTTTTACAGTAGTCCAGTTAGTTGATAAGGTAGTGTAAGGTGCACGT